GACAACATTGCGAGTGAAAGGCTGCAGCCCGATTCCCCACAGCCGTAGTGAAACTCTTGCCTTTCTTAAAAGGTATGGAACAGCTGTTATCCATCTGTACATTCAGCACTCTGACAGCAAAGACATTAATTTTCTTCTTGCTTTGGCAATGACCCTCAAGTCAGCGACAGACAACCTGATTTCTGACACCTCCTATCTTATTGCTATGCTGGGTTGCAATGACATTTACAGAATAACAGAGAAGCTAGACAACCTTGGTGTCAAGTATGACACAACTGAGCCCTCAAAGCTAGAGCTTCCACTTCCTGGTACACCCATACCTGCAGAGATTCATCATTTACTGCTCATGGACCCCATGAATGTCTTTTACCCTGGAGAATACGTTGGTTACCTGGTAGATTCAGAGGGAGGTGATATTCTAGGCACTTACCAGCCAACTTACACATACGCTATCATCGTTCAGGAAGTAGAACGAGAGGAAGAGGAAAGTCCAAGTTTCCTTGGCAAGTGCTTTCAAATTGACATTGGGTACAGTGAGTACAAAATCGTGAGCTCTCTTGATCTGTATAAATTTTCTAGACAGGATGATAGCACCCATATTCGAGATGGCACACCAACTCCAACAAGCCCCTCAGAGGGTCGTTCTCCGTGTGCCAGAATGGTCCCTCCAATATTTCCTGGAAAGGAAAATCACAGGACTCCTCCAACAAAGGCATCCTCCAAAAAGATAAAACTCAATGCATTACCAGGAATTCTAAAAGAAGTTACCTCAGTCGTAGAACAAGCTTGGAAACTTTCTGAAACCGAACGCAAGAAGATTATCCGCCGCTTATACTTGAAGTGGCACCCTGACAAAAATGCAGAGAATCTTGATATTGCTACCGAAGTCTTTAAACACCTACAAAAGGAGATCAGTAGGATGGAGAAGCAAACACAGGCGGAGCAGACCACTGATAGAGGATCAAGGAGACCTTTCTCTGCATCTTCCACTCGATTCCAGTCAGAGAAATTCTCATTTCAGCGATATTACACATCATGGAACCAAGAAGCAACAAGCCATAAATCGGAAAAGCAGCAGTTCCGAGAACAATTTAGTAGCTATGCAGGCACATCGCACTCAAATCGCTTCTTTGTACCTCCATCATTTAAGTCTGTTGGGAACCCTGTGGAGGCACGACGGTGGCTAAGGCAAGCAAGAGCCAACTTTTCTGCTGCAAGAAATGACCTTCATAAAAATGCCAATGAATGGGTATGTTTCAAATGCTACCTGGCAACAAAGCTTGCATTAATTGCTGCCGATTATGCAGTGAGAGGAAAATCAGACAAGGATGTGAAGCCCACAGCGCTTGCGCAGAAGGTAGAGGAGTACAACACCCAGCTAACAGGGTTGACCAAGGATGTACACATCCTGGAGGGTTATGGTGTGGACAGCCTGAGAACTCGCTACCCTGACCTTTTGCCTTTCCCTCAGATTCCTAATGACAGATATACTTCAGAAGTAGCAATGAGAGTAATGGAATGTACAGCTCGGATAATCATCAAACTTGAGACATTTGTCCAGCAAAAAATCTGAATGTCAGCATTAGACCATGCAAAACACTAACAGTTAAATTAACAAAGTGGTGGCTGTGCAATATAGACCAGTAAATATTATAAAATACTTTTTTAAAGTAAAATTATGTATCTAGCTGGCATTTTATTTTAACAGTGCCACCTCTGATGCTGTGACACATGCTTATTATTGCGTGCATATTTGCTCCTATTTCTCTGAAAGGTTGCCTGAGCCTAAAGACAAAGTGTACGCTATTTAACATGCAGCAGTGTACATAATGTTCTAAAGCATTGCAATATGTTTTATTATTTTAACTACATTTATTGATTATTGTTGTTCCTTTGTACATAATGAATACCAATGCTGCTTTTTTTATCTTTTGTAGAAAGGTATTTTCCTGCCATAGTCATTAAGTTGACGGTATTGTGATTTATTTGCATGAGTTCCACTGCACTTTTATGTAAGTACCACTTGAGTGATTGCAGGAATTTGAATGAATGAATCATGTGCAATCCAGTAATGAGTAGTGAATCAGCTCATGGTTTCTTAATGAAATCTATATCAGTCATGTGCCAGTAGCTCATTCTAAAATAAAAACGGCAGGTTATATTCTGCATACCAGGTTTTATCAGCTGACAATTCCATATGGTAATTGACATGCTCCTTTCACTGTACATGTAATACTGATATCAGTGCATAACCTGAACATTAAACGGTGAAAATAAAAATAAATATTTAAAAGACTGTAAATTGCATCCTAAAGATGACATTAGGTTTATAAGTGTTTACCACTTCAATTGCTGTATCTGCTTGTTGCAAGATTACAGTATGCAAGAATGAAATTTATTCCATATTTCACAATCAACTTTATCACAACTGAACTATACATATATACATTGTTGGCTAGGGGCACAACAGAGCATTTTTTATTTCCTATACAAGGATATTGGTGGGTTTAAAATATGTAAGTGACATTTTCTCTAGAAACTTGACATGTCAGTAAACTGCTGTGTACACATCATACACATCATAGTTCCTCAGAAACACATTGATTAAATATGCATTTTCTATTATTCACAATGGGAACCTCTTGTCCTCTACTGCTGAGAATTGTTTGCATGAAGTTCTCTGAAATTTGTGTAAGAGGAACAGATGCTTATATGGTGCTCAATGTCAATTATGTTTTTCATCCATTTCCTTTGTTTAACTGTGAGAGACTGAAATTAAACACTGGCTACTATATTGTTTGGACAAATATATTTTGTCATTTGTCTCATCTCATAAAGTCATATTACAGCTCTGTAAGTTTGAAACACACTAATAGTGGGACTTGGTTTGGTTTGAGATAATCATGGTATATAACTTCAATGTTATTAAACTTACATATGCACAATGACATATAATCAGGTAATAATGGTACAAAATATAATTTTTTTTTAAACATGTATTGAATTCAAAATGTTCCCACAAGTTTTTTAAAAGTTTTTTTTTAAGTTTGAATGAAATGACCATGTCAACTCATGAACATTGAAACACTGGATGTGGAAAAACAAATGTACACTTGTTCATGCATGCTTGATTAAATTATAACATAATTTAAAGTTCAGTACTACTACAATTATTTACTTCAAATATGTAAACTTCAAAATATTTTTTCCATTTTTTCCCCCATCCAAAAAAATAAAATAAAAAAATACACATCAATAAATACATAGTGTACAACAAATGTGTAAATGTGAAGATCCCCCCAAAAAAATGTATATACAAAAATAATAATTCTTAGCATTTTCAAACAGATTTTACACAAAACAGTTCTGGGAGGGGGTGGGGATATCAAACCATTGTGTATAAAGTTCAAAATTCAAGAACACTTTATAGTTTTTATAGATCAATTACGCTGATTTTCACTAAATGAATGCAGTTACTAGCAATACACCAACTATTTGCCATTTGATTAACAAAAATGACAGTAGTCTTGGTTTTCTTGTCTGTGCACAGATTTTGCTAATTAGGTTTTTCACCAAAAACAAAGTAATTCAAGACTGAATGGAGACTATTGGATTTTATTATATTACAATGCTTCACAAACTGATTCAATGCCACTGCTTCAGGATTGTGGGTAGTGTAGTTCTGACAAATATACTTGACTTGACAAAAAAAAAGTTGAAATCAAACTGACTTCAAAAGTATACAGTGCCGTGAAAAGGTTTTTGCCCCCTTCCTGTTTTTTTATTTTTTGCATATTTATCACACTTAAAAGATTCAGATCATCAAACCAATTTTAATATTACGCAAAGATAATGCAAGTAAATACAAAATGCAGTTTTTAAATGATAATTTCATTTATTAAGGGAAAAAAAGCTATCCAAACCTACCTGGGCCTACGTGAAAAATTATTTGCCCCTCCTCTTAAATTATGAAAGAACTGTGATTAACCACATTATTTTAGAAAGCTGAGTTAAATTTCACTAGCCACACGCATGCAGTTTGTATTTACTCAGGTTATCTTTGTGTAATATTAATTTGTTTGATGATCTGAATCTTTTAAATGTGACAAATATGCAAACAATTAAAAAAAACAGGAAGGGGCAAAAACTTTTTCACACCACTGAATATCATAACCCTCGGAGATCATGGCACGTCCGTCTTAGTATGTTTTACATGTAATAATCAATTCCTCTATGAGTGCATCTTTAAACAATAACTAACTCATATGCAACACACATAATTTGGTTATTGCACCTCAAAATTATATTGCATAGGATGTCAGCTGTTTACCAGCCCCTTTATTGCCCAGCCTAATTTTGAACAATTTGTATACATAAAACTATTTTACAAGGTGATTCATACATGTGATTTGTATAGACATATTTAAAGAAGAAAAAAAAAACTTAAAATAGTTCAATAGTTACAAATTGTCATGGGAGTGTCTTATCCTATCATGATAAAACCCCAACCAAACAGATTAAAGGTGCTGTATGTAGGATTGACACCGAGGGGTTGAACTAGGTATTGCAGCCCAAATTAAAAATATTGGAGAGGGGTTTTTTCCCCCGGCCCCTCCTCATCAGACTTGATGCACACGCAGGTTGCCAGATTGACAACACCAACAGGAATGAGCGCACTTGACGATGAATGAAATGAAATGCGCTGTGTTTTACGCCAACTGGCAACCCAGGGTGCCCAAATACAATTGGGTAAACTGACAGTGGGCGGGTTTCACAAACCAAAACAGAGACCGACATTCCGGCCCGGAACGCACATTTTAAAAGGAGAATAACTGACTGTAGCATTGTTTTTCAGATAAACAAGTATGTTAACTTAGCATGTTTCTTAAATATCTGCAAACATATGGAATTTTTATGCTTTAGTGGAGTCAAAAACTTACATACAGCACCTTTAATGTACCCTCCAATCTTCAGTAACATTAATACATAATGTGATTTAAAAAAATTTTTTATGTTTTCCTTGCCCAGCGACAATGTAACAACACGATTTGTTTCTAGTGTGGGTGTTTTGGACAGAAGGTCATTCAGCAGTCCTGGCGCTCGCTGCAGGTCGAAGAGACGCCAGCTCTGGAAATGAAGAACTTACCACTGGGACAAACGCACACTTCATACGTGTTGTACATTCCCTGAGAGTCACCTGAAGTTCTGGCTTCTCCCACAGGTAATGTCGGCAGACGAACACTTTCAGCGTCTAGAATCACCTGAAATATACAACAGAAACCCTAATAATGAAGTATTGAATGAAAGCTTAAACAAAGTTAGATTTAAAGATTACTAACCATTACTAACTTACTTTCACTAGTCAATTGTGTATCCTTGGAAGAAGAGGTCTTTGTCTCAACTAAAGTTTCCGAGATATATACATTACATATTGTGTACATTTGTCTCAGACTGTGCTCAAATTGTTTAAAACATCCATTTCTACAAACAAATGTCATTATATTCTTCCAAAACCAGATACTATGAGTTAGGGTTAGGTGATTTTAGCTCTGCACCTAATCAAATGCTCATAAAAAAAGCTACCCAGAGGTTTTAGGACCGCTTAAAAATTGCAGACAGGTGCGCTTACCAGTCCTGCAGTTGAGTGTAGGTGAATATCAAAGCGTGCCGTCACATCAACATTTCCAGCCAAGGCTTTCACGTGAATGCCTTTTGGGGCATCCATGCTGAGAGAGCGTGTTGGAGACTCAAGTCTTAAAAGATAGGGAATGCTTAGTTACTGTACATTGCAATAAGAAATAAGCCTTTGTTGAGAACCAGATGCCTTGGTAACTCGGTTCATCACACATCATAGCTGGTTAATGCCCTGCTGAAAACTTCTATAAAAGTTATTTTAGGTAATATAATCAGTACTGCCATTACTTTTAATGGGCTGACCTTATAAAACAAAAATTGTTTTCAAGAAAAAAACCCCCAAATATATCACGGCAGCAAGAGAAAAAAAATGGAGCAACAATGAATGAATGAATGAACGAACTAACTAACAAGCCGCCAATTAAAGTGCTGTTTTGGAATTTAAATTGTTAATAATTATTTATTGTATAATTACCTTAGCTCTTTGTTAAGTACAGCTTTGAGCAGAGGAGTCCTGACAGAATGCTCAAAGAAAGCACCTTCTGGACCTGTCCAAACACCAGAACACTTACAATTATACAAAGGAAGTGGACAAATCATTCAGCATGGAGGATGGGGGGGCAAATAATTGCATTTATTTGCCAAACTACAGATTATCCAATATGTTATTATACTATACTATTATACTATTGTACTATACTATGTTATTATACTATTGCATTTTTACTGTATTAAATTTTGTATGCATTAAAGCATACAATGCAATAACTTTATGCTGACTTTAATTGAAAAATAAATGTAAGGTACTACAACAAATACATTCATCTATAAGCAAATGTACAATTTAAGTAAAATATCATTGCATTTTTTGCGATTATGAGAATTGGCATCAAAATGTGTTAAATTGTAATACAAAATGCTAATAATACTAAATAACCTAAAAGTCCTGTAACAGGCTTCATTCTTTAAACAAGATAATTTGTTCTTCTTTTAAATTTGGGGTGAATTTTGATTTTAAAAACACGCGTAACAAATCAAAATAGCTCTAGGCTAGTTTAGAAGAAGTATTAATATTTAATCTAGTGTGTAAACCTGTTGTGCATCATGGTATGCCAGGTATGTGTTGTTAAGGCTGGATCTGTTGTTTACAAAATCTCAGTTTTAACAAGTTAATTAATAGGACTGTTTCATATGTTTGAACACATTATCTCCTAATGGCCTTAATGAAGAGTTTGCTATTCATCCTTTTTTGCATTAATGATGCTGATTTCATTTGTTTATTTTGATCAGGTGTAGATGTTAGATTGCTGTGATTTGTTCTTGGTATTTTATGTTTTCACTTTTATTTCAATTATGTAATTTGTTGCCCGAGTGTTTAGTTAGTGTGTGTGTGTGTGTGTGTGTCATGTGGTTTATCATGTGATGTAATTTTTGCTAGTATTTAAGGGCTCATTAGTATATGTGTTCATTGTCTGATGAACACCTGTGGTGAGAACATGAAATAAACATTGTTGCATTTTTGAAGCTGTGGTGTGCCAACCTTTATTTTTTTCTTATTGTTTAATATGTTAGAATATTAGGCTCTTCACCTTTTTCTTAATTCTTTTTGAATTCATATTTGAAGTAACACAATAAAGTGCAACCCTGTAAACAATAACATTATAGCAGTACTAATAATACACATGACAGATCATTACTTTTTTTATATGCACATTGTACAGGTCTAGTTTCAGGCTCACCTGTAACGCGGAGCTTTCCTTTTCCCACAACGGCTCCATTTGCATCTGCATAAAATACATTTTCATCATGGTTTGAACTGATATTGAAGTGTTGGCCAAAACCCTCTGCCTGACTGGGACCTATTGAGGAGAGAAATAAATAAGAAGAGAATATATATAGACTAGACATCACATAAGTTTTCATCAATATTTAAACAGAATATTTTATATCCAGTTTTTCAGTTTTATGTTGCTGCTGGGCTCTTAGCTCATGCATTTTCTGTGTGACCCATTTGATTAATACTAGAACCATTTATTGAACGTTTAGACAAAAAAAAAGTTGGAATATGTGTTTTTTTTTTTTGAGTATCATATTTGATACTTCAGGCTTTTATTGCTTACACTGTAAAAAAATTACTGTGAATTTAACGGTAAAAAACTGTAAAAATGCTACAGTAAAAACCCGGTAAATTCCCAAACTATATACGGTGAAAAACTGTATTGGACAATACATGTATTGGACATAAATTTTACGGTAGTATACCGTTTTTGGAAGTGAAAAGGACCATATAATTTACAGTGAATAACCATAAATTGACATTCCCAGAATTCCCTGCGTTACATTTCAAATTTGATGTTTTTTTGTTGTTGAAATAACTATGATTCTTCTTATTTTTTTCTTATCAGTTTTCTATATTAGGGTTGTGTGTTACACTTAATGTTTATTGCATTATTTCAGTTTTATGTGTGTTACCATGATGGTGTTTAGTGTTTGTGTGAATGACACTCTGCATCTTCTATATATGTTATTATTTAAAAGCTGCTTGTGATGGGCTTTGGTTCACCATGTGACTTTCTCATCACCACCTGCATTTGGTGGTTATCAGTGTATTACAAAGATACAAAACATATTTCAGTACTTCAATAGGTTGGTACAGGGGTGGCGAACGTCGGTCCTGGAGAGCCCGCAGCCCTGCAGAGTTTTGCTTCAACCCTAATCAAACACACCTGAACAAGCTAATCAAGGTCTGAACAGTTACTAGAAAGCTACAGGCAGGTGAGTTTTAATTAGGGTTGGAGCTGAACTCTGCAGGGCTGCGGCTCTCCAGGACCGGAGTTCCCCACCCCTGGGTTGGTATATTAACATTATATCAGTTAATGAAATTACGGATATTTAACTGTAAATTTAAGTTAAAACCGTAAAACCTAAAACGTTGCTACCGCGTTTTTTACGGTAAAATTCTGGCAACCACAGCTGCCGTTTTTTTACCATAAATTTTACGGATTTGTTTTTACAGTGTATATTTTATGATGTAGTGAGAATATGGAGTTCATATTTTTATTTGTTCCTCAAAAGCCATATTTGATACTCATTTTCTAAAAAAAATATGACTAATCAAGTAAACCTAAATTGCTTTAGTCCATTAAGGGTTTATAATTATTAACAATATAAAATGTATTCTTATGTTTACTTACTAAAAAGTATTTTACGTTAAGTATGAATGACAGAAGGCATGTACAGTACTATAAGATTGTGTACAATAGGTTTTAATCATGTTGATCACCTAGAGGCCTTATACATTTGCATATCAAATGTGGTACAGTGGGCTTTGTAGGGTGAAACACATTGACAAAATCATGAAATCAACAAATAAATGTTTTGTATATCTCATACCTACAGACACACTTCCTATTACATCACCATTGGCATTGCGAGTATTGAGCGTAACATTTTCAGAGGAGTGCACCAGAAGAGCTGAATCCTGTAATGAAGATGAGAATGAGCAAAATGGGCACCTAAATCAATCTATTTATCTGTGTTTAAGTGTATAGTTTAAATACCTCTTACCTCTCTGGAGTCAATTTCCTGGGCGTAGAGAGGGAACAGAAAGTCTGATTCTCCCTCCAGTCTCAGTCCGTCTGCATTGACCTGCAGGTATCCCATGCCTTCCTGCAACAGCCAGTAACACAGAGTGCTTTCTCAGCATCAGTGTGACCTCATGCGACATAACAGAGTGCCAAACTGAGATAAAGAGGCTCAACCAAGGGCAGAATCTAATTATGGATTCATTTTTCTATTAAAAATTAATTATATATGTGATCTGAAATCTTTTGAGTGAAGTTCTCTCACCGTATTGAACCACATAACTCGCAGGATCCAGATCGTGAGGGCAAAGTTCACCACCAGAATGATGAGGAGAAGCAGAACGAACAGATAGAGACAGCGTTTCCTCCAGCCATAGATGCCGATCATGTAGAAGTACTCAGTGATTGGAGCCAGGGACCCAGACTCATCTGTGGTGGTGAGGTACTGCTCACGCACCATCTGGGATTGAGGATTATTGGTCAACTACACATTAAAACTACAATTCATGAAAACTACACACAAAATTTTGCAACCTGAACTAACCTTGCCTTGTCATTAAAAAATTAATTTATCTTATACTTTAGAAACTTATTGACCTTGACACACCTTGTTTTTTAACTGTATGTTGCTTGTACCACATGACTTTGATTTGGTAGACAAGTTTTTTAAATTGTTTTTAAGGAGAAGAAATAACACATATATACATACAGTATATATATTGTGGCGGGAGAAAGGAGGCTCAGACTCAACATGTGGTGAAATATCCCCGAAGGTGCATTTATTGAGTGACAATAATGAAAGTGGAGAAGGTGCTCGGAGGATCAGAGAGGCAGATCATCCACGTGAAGACTGTAGAAGTGAAGGTGCAGGAACCTGCTGGAACCTTGTGATCTGGGGTCTCTTAATAATCACTGGAGCCTGCGGGAGGAAAAGAACCAGAGACAATGTTAGCCTGGTCTTAGGAGATCTCGTTCCCCTTGATGCTTCTTTCTGCTCTGTTTATATCCCCTTCTCCTGATGACTCTGAGGTGGCTCCTGTTCACAGACTCCGCCTCCTGGCAATTGGATCCTCTCCCTCTCCATGACAACGCTAATGAGTGCTTGGGTTGCTCCCCCCCCACCAGAGAGTGGAGGAGGGGAGGGGCAAGAGAGACCGACAGACCTGATCATCCAGTGACCATCCGGGACAGACAATCTGCATTACCGTGTGCCGACCCAGCTCAGTGCTTGACTGTAAAGTGGTAGTCCTGGAGTGCCAAGAACCACCTGGTCACTCGTGCGTTAGAATCTTTAGCGCGGGCCATCCACTGCAGGGGAGCATGATCCGTGACTAAGGTGAAACTGCATCCTGTCAGATAATATCTCAGCTCCAAGACTGCCCATTTTATGGCTAGGGCTTCCTTTTCTACTGCAGCATATCGGGATTCTGCAGCAGAGAGCTTGTGACTGATATAGACAATGGGATGCTCTTCAACTGCTTGGACCTGGGACAGCACCGCTCCTATTCCTACATCTGATGCATCTGTCTGGAAGATGAAGGTGCAACTGTAGTCCAGAGCATGCAATACTGGTGAAGCTGTGAGAGCCATCTTGAGCGCTTGGAATGCTTGCTCCGCTTCTTCTGTCCAGCATATCTCTGGCTGCCCTTTTTTGGTCAGGTCTGTGAGGGGACAGGTTATAGAGAAGAAGTTAGGGATGAAGCACTGGTAGTAACCCGCCAAACTGAGAAAGGCACGGCCCAGGTGACACTTCTTTGGGTTGGCCGTTAGTCCAGCCTTCCGTAGTTCCATCAAGACTTTCTTTAGCCGATCCAGGTGGTCTTCCCAATGCTCTGAGTGAATTACCACGTCGTCAATGTAAGCCGTGGCATAAGCTCGGTGCGGACACAGCACAATGTCCATGAGCCTTTGGAATGTTGCTGCTGCCCCATGCAGGCCAAAGGGTAAGGCCCGATACTGCCAGTGCCCCCCGGGTGTGCTAAAGGCAGTTTTTTTTCTCTGGCATCTTTAGACAATGGCACTTGCCAATAACCTTTGGTGAGGTCAAGCGTTGAGATGAAGCGGGCTCTGCCGAGGCGTTCAACCAACTCATCTACTCGGGGCATGGGGTAACTGTCGAATTGGGACACCTCATTCAGCTTACGAAAGTAATTGCAGAACCGGTAAGTTCCATCTTTCTTGGGCACCATAACTATAGGGCTGGACCATGGGCTTCGAGACTCTTCAATTACTCCCAAATGGATCCATTGCACTTCCTCCTCTATAGCCTGTCAGTGAGCTTCTGGTACCCGGTAGAGCCGCTGTTTAATGATGACATCAGGTGAGGTGTGAATCTCATGAGAGAGGATGTCTGTCCGGCCCGGGGTCTCTGAAAGCACATCCGAAAAACTGCTTACCAGAGCTTCCAGTTCCTTCTTCTGGACTGCAGAAAGTTGTGTTCCCAGATCCACCACCGGCGGCTCCTTTATGGCAAATACTGCCATTTGGTTTGCGGGTTCGACCCATCTCTTCAGTGTGAAAGTGAAAAGTGTGTTCGGAAAGTGCGTTCAAGCGTCAGCAGAAAACAGTGTAAAGAAATACTCTTTGAGAGAAGCAGTCTTTATCAGCGGAAGTCAAAAGCAGCTTGTAAGTGTATTTACTTGTCTCATTAGTGTTTAGTGCAGTTGTCATTGCTAGGAAACACTTGTTTTGTTTACTGTGTGGAGACGTGCTGATTTCGCGTTTGGTCTCGTTCTGTATCGCGTATCTTGTCAGTGTCTGCGCTTGCTTGGCCATTTGTTGTGGAAAAAATATGGAAAGTGTGTTCAAGTGCCAGCAGAAAACAGTGTAAAGAAATACTCTTTGAGAGAAGCAGTCTTTATCAGCGGAAGTTAAAAGCAGCTTGTAAGTGTATTTACTTGTCTCATTAGTGTTTAGTGCAGTTGTCGTTGCTAGGAAACGCTTGTTTTGTTTACTGTGTGGAGACGTGTTTGCGTTTGGTCTCATTCTGTATCGCATATCTTGTCAGTGTCTGCTCTTGCTTGGTCATTTGTTGTGAAAAAAAAAATTTGAGTTCAATTAGGTCTGAATTTATTATGTCTGTACAGGTCTTTTATTAAGTTTTAGTTTTATTTAATTTGAGTTATTTTAATACTTCAACAAACTAAATGGAAATGAAATAATATATATATGTGTGTGTATGTATGTATGTGTGTATGGTTGTACATACACATATATGTAGTTGTTTTTTTTGGTGTTTGGCTTACTGTTATGTTAGAATCATTATTATACTCTTATACCTTTAGTTCTTTAATATTTTGAATTGGTTTTAGCTTTTTTTTTTCATTTAAATGTTAAGTTTTGAAATTTTGTTGTATGCATTTGTCATTTTTATTTAATTTCTTTATTTTTAAAATGTGTATAAGTAGTATTTATAAAGTTTTAGCTTTTAGTTTTGGATCTGTTTTTAGTGGTACTACAGTTGATTGCTTCTGTTGTCCTCACTTGTACGTTGCTTTGGATAAAAGCGTCTGCTAAATGACTAAATAAATAACTAAAAATATTTTATAAAATCTCTTCAACAGGTTGATGTGGTAGATTTGTTCGCCCCGTCGTCGTCCTGGCTGGTGGACTCGATAATTTACTGGCCCCACTCGTTCTGTCACAGTATACAGTCCCTGTCAGGATGCAAGAAATTTACAAGCAGCATTTGGAATTAGTACCAATACCCTGTCTCCTGGGTGAAACTCATGTGCCTGAGTGGGGCGGTTGTACACTCGCTGTTGGGGCCGCTGGGATTCGATTAGGTGCTCCTTCACTAAGGGCATCACTTTGACAATCCTTTCCCTCATCTCCTCAACATGCTCAATCAGAGATCGGTGTGGGGAAACTTGGCCTTCCCAGGCTTCTTTGGCTAGATCTAAGAGCCCTCGTGGCTGCCGCCCGAACAATAGCTCGAAGGGAGTGAACCCAGTCGAAGCCTGTGGAACCTCCTGAACCCCGAACAGCACATACGGAATCATGAGGTCCCAATCATGTCCGTCTTCGGCTATCACACGTCTCAGCATTCTCTTGAGAGTCTGATTGAACCGTTCGACCAGCCCCATCTGTCTGGGGGTGGTACACCGAGGTATGAAGTTGTTTTACCCTTAACAACTTGCACATGTCCGCCATAAACCGGGAGACAAATTGTACCCTGGTCAGTCAATATCTCCTTGACTGGTGGGTTGGGATCGGTAGGCATAGGCTCATCCCGTGGCCCTGTTGTGACTGGTCTGCTTACTGGCATAGTGGCACTCTCCAATGGTCATTTGTCACTTTGTATTCTCCAAGAAAATCCTGCTCCAGCTCTCTCTCCCAAGTCTCATGCTTGAGCTGCCTCCGTCAGCTCTACTGCTTGTACCAACTTGGCCAGCGACTCTGGATTTCGCGTCCCCGCAGCCTTCCAGTGCACCAGGGGCAGAGAACGGAGCAGCTTGTCTACCACCACCTTCTCTGCTACTTGCAATGCAGCAGCCTGGCCAGTGAGAAGCCATAGATGGGCCAACCTGGAGAGTTGGGCGGCCTGTACTCGAACGGGGGCCCGAGAATCATACACCCATTCAAAGAACCGCTGCCCTGCACACACAGGTGAGAGCCCCACCCGGGCCAATATCTCCTGCTTTAGTGCTGCATAATCAGTGGCTGAGGTGGAGGGTAACGAATAGTAGGCAGGCTGCGCTTCTCCTGTTAGAAAGGGTGCAATAATACCAGCCCACTCGGACTCATCTCACCATTCTTGCTCTGCCACAATTTCAAATGTGTGGAGGTAGGCTTCTACATCATCAAGATCTGTTAATTTGGTGAGCAGCTGGCCGGCTACGGCCCGGGTACTGGGGAGTGGGGCTCGCTGGGCGGCCTCTTGACGGAGCCGCTCAAACTCATGCTCAGCCCCTTCCTGTCGGATAGCCAGCTCCTCTGCAAACTTCTGCTGACGGAGAGAGACCTCGA